CCACTCGGGAGTTGAACTTGGGTCTCCTGCGTGCGACAGTGGGATGTACAAATATTATCCTACGACACTGCTTCCAAATGTCACTAACGTGGCTAGTTAGGCGGTTTTATTTCTAATCTCAAAAACAGGAGTCACAGAGCTTGAAAGAGTCGTCTTTCCTACTTCTCATACCATCCCAGTGGGTGGTTGGCGGGTGATCTGGTGTGGTTTGCTCCTTCTTTCCTATCAAACATCTATCGTCATTATCTGTCCTCCTTCTTTTTTGTGTTTGTTACTCTCTTGCAACACCTCTAATCCTCGTCACGTATATGACCTTATTGTGTTGCAAGTCACGTAAAATTCTTACTAATACATACCATCCCAACTTCACCAAGAAACATAATGTCGGCAATCTAGTAAACTGTACTAAGCTCAGAAAACATCGGTTTATCACAAGGGGGACGAAACGAACGGTTTCATTTTGTTATAGCTTGAACCCAGTTTAAGTACTATTTCTTGCCTTTTTCAACATTTAGAATTTGGATTTTGACCACATATTTTTATAGGGGACTCTCGTGGCCAAGAGATTAAGGTGTTCGCCTCTCGTTCAAAGGTCCGAGTAGCTACGGAAACATTTTCTTCTCTAAAATTCTCTCCTTTCACTTCTTTTCTTGCTCTCTAGAAACGTTCTGTAGTCTGCTTTTGTCCGCACTTTCTGCCCCCCCCCCTCACCTCCTTTGCCCCCTCCTCTGGGCTTCTGACTCTTCCTGCAGCCTTTCTACTGCTACTCTTTGGCTCCTTCTTACTGCTGTCTTTCAGCCACACACCTAATATTCTGGTAGGAAAGATCTACACATAGCTTTCTCGGACAAGGGCAAAAAATCTCGGAGGTCCGGTGTGCAAGTTGCGCACGTTAAAGATCCCATGGCTGTCTAAAATCGAGAAGAGTAAGCTTCGGCCGCCATCCGGGCAAAATTCAAAGTTTCCTACCAACTGAAAATAATTAATGTGCCCCGCGCACTCATATGACCTTATGCACTTGCGCGCGCCGTAAAACACTTACCGAAACAAAAACAACATATTATTTTTTCTTGAGCACATGCATCCGATACCATTTAAGAAACGGCATTAAAGAAAAAGAATCGCAGTTTGAAGAAAAATATCAAGACTTTGAGCTTCATACATTTGTATGTTTCCGCGGAAGCCGAGAATGTTTCCGAGTGTTCTCAGAGGATCTGCTGGGGTAATTATAGTTGTAAAGCGCATATAGCGTGCTCTTGCGCATGGATATGCGCTATATAAAGGCAATTATTATTATTATTACAGCTGGCTGACGTGAACCTATCAAAGAGCGTCCTTGGTAACTATAGTGACGTGTTCGCAGGCTAATACTTATGGCGGCCCTGGATACCGAGTGACGTGACAGACCTTCAGAAGCCTTTTGTTTTGTGTAGTAAAAGTGTGTCATAATGAAGCTCGACCTTGTTATGTCGAGTTGCTTCTTCTGTCTTTAGTGACCGAGGAGGACGGAGATGTGCGCACCAGGT